TAAGCATTCTATACTTACATACATCGTATACATCATCTTCTTCTTCAAACACTGACTTGAGCATCGTAGCTTCTACCTCGGGACAACTCTCAACCCTATTTTGTAGGTCATTTTACCAGTTGAGAGCGGGTCGAAGGACGTTCAATTTGGTCAAGGTCGTTTGCACTACCACCAATGAAACAAAACATGAATTGGCTCATTATTGTAGAATAGAAAGAACTAATTACAAGCGTCGTCGTACCTTTTCCGGCGCCTTCCCCTACGGGGCCATCCAAGCGGTCGGCGGTGGCGCCCCTGGGCCTCGAGGCTCACCTCCTGGAGATTAGCAGTTTAGAGACGGTCTTCTTCACCGTGGAGGAGGAGGTGCTCGTCTCTGGTCTTGGTCTCGCCGTGTATGGAGTGGCGGGCAGCTGAATCCCAGGATTCTACGCTTTGGCGGTCCTCCGACCCTTTTCCAGATCCGTTGCGGCTCCAATTTCTCTGATTGGGGGGTTTGGGGTGGAGGATTTTAACCCTTCCACCGAGGTCCTCTTTGGCCCTGGTGTTGGGCAGAGGGGACGGTCGTCTTCAAAGGCTGAGGCCTGGTGTTCTGTAGTCGAGATCGGATCGATGGTGTCGTGCTGGGCGGTTTTGGGGAAGAAGGTCTCTAGGTGTGGTTGGAGATGTCCATTTGGATTAGGGTTGGGCCTGTTGGTGTGGGACTCAGTTCTACGTTCTCTTACAGTTTCAGGGTCGGATTCTTGGGTTGTGACTGTGTTCGTGTGGATGAATATTTGGTGGTGTCATCGTCGTTTCTATTGGAGGGGATTCCTGTGGCGGGAATGGTTTTTGTAGCTGTAGTTCTGTGTTTTGCGTTTTCCTTGTATTTAGGTTGTGTTTTTATTTTTTCCTCTTAAGTGAAAAGTGCGTTTAGTGTATTCTCCACTCGTGAGAGCTTTTGTTTGTCCCCCTTTGGGAGTTTTCTAGAGTTTTGTATTGTTTTTTAGGTTGTATCTAGCCTACCGTCTGTCTGTGCAGTTCTCCCAGCGAGATTTAGTAGTTTAATTGTTTTATTTGGCCGTGTGTCTGATTATTTGGCTCAGTGACTCCTCTATAGTCTTGTTTGTTTTGTTAATACATATGATTTCTATCATTTCAGAAAAAGAAAATATTAATAATCTTTATGTTTAAATGCAAAATGTTTTTCAAGTTCCGTTAAATGATCCTCACAAGCAGCAGTAATTAGATGGTTGATATTGATCCACGAGATTTCATGCCCTCTTTTACTAACAGATTTGATAACCGCAGAACAGATTTGAACGTTATTCTTGGACACTTCAATAGCCAAACAAAACATTGGTCGCTTACAAAATAAATAAATAAAAGCAAATAGTCCTATTGGGTACTCCAACAGCCATCTAAATTCAAACACTTGACAACTATATTCCGCTATATATAAACAATATTGTAAATTTATATCGTCAAAATTCAACTTACTCAGAAAAAAAAAAAAAGATAAACTAAAGAAATATGTCAAAAACCAGGTTAAGCATGAAGCTCCTGATGGACACCCAAGCGAAACGGGTCCTTTTTGCGGAGGCTGGCAAAGACTGCGTGGATTTGCTATTCCACATACTCTCCATACCCGTGGCTAGGCTCGTTAGCCTGCTGGGAAAACAGGGAATGGCAGGGTCACTAGCCAATTTGTACGAAAGCCTAGAGAACCTCAACGAATCCTACATTCAACCCAACTGGACCAAAGACACACTTTTGAAACCAGATTATTGCTCCCCGGTCCCCCTATTAACAACCTTCAAGGACTCGGATCAAAAGAAGTTTTTCAGGTGCAGCTTTTGCACCTCTCACGTCACAGATTGCCCAGCTGCCACGTGTCCAGGCTGCCACCAGAAAATGGGGCAGGCTCTGCAGTATGTGGGCCCACCTGCGGGTAATGAAGGTGGGTTTGTGAAAGGGGTAGTGACGTATATGGTGATGGATGATTTGGTCGTCATGCCGATGTCAGCAATCTCCAGCATCACCTTGTTGAACAAGCTTAACATCAAGGAAGTTGGGGCCTTGGAGGAAAAGGAGGTGAATCTTGGATTTTTTGAGGTGATTAATTACTTGCCATTAATTGTTTTATGAATTTTTTCATTACATAATGCCACAAATGGGTATTCACATATTTGGGAACTCAACATTTTGTTTTTCTTCAATTTAACAGGCTGTGAAGTTGGTCAAGGCTTCTTTCGAGACCAAGAGTGTTCTTACTCATGTTTTCTTGAATGGTAACTGAAATTAGTTGATTCTTGTATTTCAATACCTCTTTCAAATTTTTTTGGTGTTTTTCCCTTCTCTGCTAATTCTGAGTTGCCATGCACAATTTATATGCAGACATGGGCCATCCAGGAAATGAGGTTGAGGTAAGAAGTCGAAAACGATGGCCTCTATGAATTTTTTTTTTCCTTATTGAAGTTAACAATTCTTGCTTATTTGTGTCTATTCCCATTTGATTAGGGGATGGTGTTTGATAAGATCAACTGGTTTGAGACTACAAACAGTAGTAATTTGTTTAAGATGAATGTTGATCCAAAGAATCCAGCTAGCTTGTTTGAAACTACAGACGGTTGTAATTTGTTCGAGATGAATGCAGATCCAATGGTTCCAGCTTTCCATTTTGGGGCGTCGATATCTACATCGTCAACAGATGCAACAAGAGAAACTGTTCCCAAATTATCAAAGCCAAAAGTTCGTACAAGGTTTATTCGTAAGGCACGACATAATTAGGAAAATACTGATGAATGCCATTTTGTGATTTGACATAGTTGATTAAGAGACAGCAGTACTCAGTTTGTTTTGGCAATGGTATTGCTGAAATGCACTCTGTACTGGATCTTTGAGAAATGATGTACTATTTCCTAATCACATATGATAATTGCAGAAAATAGCAGTCCTTAATTATAATGATTTGAGACTTGACACAGTCATGAATTTAAAAGAACAACTTAGCTAGGCTTTCTGCCCCTCATAAATATTTAAAGCTCGAAGAACTTGGCTGTTATGAACTGGCGAAAACTGAGTGGACTTAATGAAGAGACTTAACATTGCATATCAAACGCAACTAATTGCCCTTGATCTCTCCCTCTCTTGAGCCAGTGTCAAGTGTAACCCTTCTACATTGGAGGTCCATGAATCAAGCATTTTCATTATTTTACACGTGATAATTAATATTTTATTAATTTTTTATCAATATGATATATAAGGGCACCCGCATTGGTTCATTAAATCCATCCATTTAAATGCATAGTTAATGTTCAACCGATGGGAGTCCATTCATTTGATGGTGAAAATTAGCTGGCCCACCACTGCCGTTCAGCACATTGAACGGCTATTTGCAACATTTTTTATTCTTTTTTTTTGTTTTTCTCTCTTCAACAGCTATTTCCAAACTTTTTTTGTATTTTTTATTTCCTTTTTCTTTTTTTCTTTTGCAACGGCTCTATCCAAATCTTTTTTATTCTTTTTTGTTTACTTTTGATTAAATTGTTTTTGTATCCGTTTAGTCTTTTTTACATTCTATCCGTTGAGTTTTTTTTTTTTTTTATATATATATACTTTCTATCATCATTTTTGCCTATAAATATATCTCATTGTTACATTTCTTCTACACCACAAATTTAGCAACTTTCATTTCTGAAAAGAAAAAATGGATTCCAATAATAGGCAAAACTTTCAAAATTTCTCAAATTCTAATACTAACAATCCTGATGAATTTCCATTATTCCAAAATTCACAAACTCCGCCAAATTTATCATTTTCACAAGCTCCTTATCCAGCACAATTTTTTCCACAATTCCCATCAAATTTTCCTTTTATGCAACAATCCCAAAATTATCCAATGTCTGGCAATATTCAATACTCACAATATCCTCCACAAGCTTTATTTCAAAATCCACCACCTGAATATTGGCAGTACATAAGTAGTCAAAATCTGGTGCAATCTTCTCCGCAACAATCGAGTCAATCTTCCGGATCTCAAATGAGGAAAGAACCCAATACTCAAACTTACGTTCCGGAAACACAATTGCAGGATTGTGAAGCAGCTATAAATGTTGAAATGCCAAGAAACACACGTGTTGCTGCTGAGGGCCGGAAAAAACGTCCACAATGGACAAAGGAAGAGGACGTGCTATTGGCAAAAGCTTATGTGACAATAAGTGACGACCCTATTACCGGTAATGATCAGAAGGCCGAAGCGTTTTGGGTACGTGTTACAAAATATTATAATGAAAATACACCTTCTGATTATATTTCTAGAGATTTGAATATGATAAGATCTCACTGGCATAATACAATTCAAAAAAAGGTGTATCGGTTCAATGAGTGCTATAACAGTATTTACGGTGTGTATCGAAGTGGTTGTAGTGATGAGGATATATTAAGTCGGGCTTACGAAAAATATCGTAGTGAGAATAATGGTGTAGCCTTCAATCTTGAGCATGTGTGGAGAATCGTAAAAGATCGTCCTATGTTCACTCCACAATCTTCTAATGATATTTTTGTTGAGAGAAAAAAAACGAGAATTGATGAGTCTGGTGCCAGCAACACTTCATCAAAAGGGGATGCGAGCATTGATCTAGATGAACTTCATGAAGTGGCTCGCCCAATCGGACAGAAGGCAGCCAAACGAAAGGCCAAGGGCAAAGGAAAATCCAACCTTGATGAGATGACTGCAGAATATAACAACATGGTTAAGCACCTTGCTGAGTTAACAAGCTTGAAAAAGACTGAAGTTGAAGTTAAAAAAGCAACACTTGAGGAAAAGAAGCAGAGAAATCGTCGAAAAGACTATGATATTTTAATGAGGGACACAAGTCACATGACCCAAGAGCAACGTATTACTCATGAGAAAATGTGCCAAGTAATTCGAGAGAAATGGAACTTTTAGACTTTCATTGTCTATTTTAATTATCCTTGTAATTCTGTACGTTGTAATTTGCAAATTTGAATTTTCATCTTATATTTCATTTAAGTTTTGCAAAATTAAAACTATGTAAACTTATCATATTTCATTTAAAGCAAACTCACAATATTAAAGCAAACTGATATATTTCCTAGTCAAAAGAAGGAAGCTTCCTCACAATTTCCTAGTCAAAGGAAGGGAGCTTCCTTACAACTTCTTGGTCAAAGAAAGGAAACTTCCTCGTAAGTTCCTAGTCAAAGGAAGAGAGCTTCCTCGTAAGTTCCTGGTCAAATGAAGGGAGCTTCCTCGCAACTTCATCAAAAGAAGCATTTGTTTGGTTATAAATACCTCATTTTGTATCCCATTTTGTATCCCATTCCAAGTGAAAGAAAAAGAAGAATCCTCACAAAATGTCTCAAAATTCATATAGATCCGAGTCTAATTCATCATCATCCACCGATAGTGAAGATGGTGAAAACACTAACGATTTAGAAGTTGAAATGATTTCATCAATCGTTCAACGAAGCCACGAGTTACTTCAAGCATACCAACATGAAATTGAAGTTCGTAGAAGAGAAGATGGACATAACAGACTTGTAAGTGATTATTTCTCTGATCATCCTGTCTACCCCGATCATATATTTCGTAGGCGTTTCCGTATGCGAAGAGAATTATTCCTTCGTATTGTGAATGCACTTCAGACACAATCATCATATTTCCAGCAAAACTTTGATGCATCAGGAAGACAAAGTTTGTCACCACTTCAAAAATGCACAGCAGCCATTCGTCAGTTGGCTTATGGAGTCCCAGCTGACCACCTTGATGAGTATTTACGTATGGCTGAGTCAACTGCTATAAAATGTCTTTTTAAATTTTGTGAAAGTGTGGTTCAAATTTTCGGTGATGAATATTTGAGAAGACCGAACAATAGCGATGTTCAAAGACTCCTCCAAATGCATGAAGAAAATCATGGTTTTCCGGGTATGCTTGGAAGCCTTGATTGTATGCATTGGGAATGGAAAAATTGTCCAGTTGCTTGGAAAGGCCAATTTACAAGAGGGCATGGGTCTCCTACGATTGTCCTTGAAGCGGTTGCTTCACACGATTTGTGGATATGGCATGCCTTTTTTGGTGTTGCAGGATCACGTAATAATATCAATGTATTGTATGAATCTCCTCTATTTAATAATGTGTTGCAAGGAAATGCACCAAACATTCATTTTACTGTCAACGGCACGCAATATGCAAATGGGTATTATCTTACAGATGGAATATATCCAGAATGGGCTACGTTCGTAAAGTCTTTTCCTTGCCCGTCAGATCCTAAAAGAAAGTTATTTAAAGAAAAACAAGAAGCTGCTCGAAAGGATGTGGAAAGAGCATTTGGGGTGCTTCAGTCTCGATGGGCAATTGTAAGAGGTCCTGCTCGATTTTGGTATAGAAGAAAACTAAAATTTGTTATGTTGACATGCATTATTTTACACAATATGATTGTTGAAAATGAAGGAGTTGTAGTAACAAATTGGCACAATGACGAGGATGAAGAGCCCGCACAACCTGTCCAGGGTTCAAATCGAGAATTTCAAAATTATATCCGTAGAAGTTCAGAGATACGAGATAACACCGTTCATCATCAACTTCGTGCCGATTTAGTTGAGCATATTTGGACCCATTTTAGCCACTAAAAAGTTATATTTTGTAATTGTATTATTTTTTTCTTGTGTAATCTTAATTTAAGTTATTTTGGTATTGTAGTGTGCTTTTATTTTCATGTATTTAAAATTTATTATTATAATTTAAAACTATTAATTTTATATTTTTATTGAGAATAGAATATTAAAATTTATATTGAATGAATGGATATAATGGGTCCCATATTTGTATTTAAATGAATGTGTAGGGATGTGGGTGTGTGTTTAAATGGAGAGAGAATTAGTGTAAAGGTGATTTGGAAATGATGTGGAAGAGAGAGAGTGTACTTTTTTGATTGAATGAATGGGAAAAAAATTAACAAATGCGGATGCCCTAATGTAAGATAAATTGGAGTATTACACATGTGTTAATTAATATTTTATTTATTGGATGTTGTGTCGGGTTTGAATTTTGCCTAAAAGGCGCAAACACGTGCAAAACTTACATCAATACCTTAAATACAATTTTTATCACATAACTGTACACTACATAAAACTTCTTCTACAAAACAACCAGCAATGCATAAAAATGGAAACAAAAATACAGCTCCAATCCGCTATGTTATTTCCTGTAATCAACGCTCAATTGAGATAACGGAGTGAGAGACATCTTTTCG